CCGCCATCTTCGCGCATGTGCAGCTTTCTTCTCACCGGCTGAAGGACTTTTCAGCATCCTGCAGCCAGGCGGCTGAGAGGCTTCTTTGCTCCGGTCAGGTTCGGGTGGGTGAGCAAATCACGACCGGGGAACCGGTTTGGGGGCATGGCCTGGCTGCCGTTACTAAAGGTTCGGAGAACTACTTCCTAAAGTTACTATCTATTCGATAGAACTGGGACAAATCAGGAGCAACCCACCACTGGACCATACCAATTCCTAATATCATTGTTGACTAAATACATTATCAATTTTAGATGGCTGACACCAGAAGGTATTATGATCTCCTGGCGAGAAAAGAGATACAGTGTGGATACTTTGGACAAAGCGGAGGAATTCTATAACCAATATTTTGGTAATGAGGAAGAAACAGAAGAGAGAGAAGTAATAGGAGAAAAAGATCAAAGAATACCAGCCGTGGAAGAAAGGGAAGTACAACTGAAAAAGAGGGAGAAAGAAAAAGGAAAAGGCCGGAGAGTAACAGGAAAAGACCTAAGGAAGAAGAGCAGCCCCGAAAAAGTAAAAATTAAAAATGAAAGTTAAAAGATAAGACAAATAAAAAATAATGGATAAATGACTGTACATGTAAATGTGTTTATGAGAAATAAAAATAAAAACTGTTTTGAAAAAAAAAGATAAGGGTGTCCGCTATCACCGTTGTTGTTTACATAGACTTTGGAAGTATTAATGAGAATAATTCAAAAAGATACTCAGATCAAAGGATTGGAAATTAAAAGAGAGAGTTATAAATTGCAAGTTTTTGCAGATGACTTAGTCTTCATTTTAGAGGAGCCACTGAAATCAGGCCTGAGAATTATGGAGGTATTGGAGGAATACGGAAAAGTAGCCGGACTAAATGTAAATAAGGAGAAAACTAAAATGATAGCCAAGAACAAGACAAATAAACAGAAAGATGATTTGACTAAGGGAATAAATATTCAATTAGCGAAGAAGGTGAAGTACCTAGGGATTTACTTGACGGCAAGGTGTACAATTAAGGAGGACAATTATATTAAATTAATAAATCAAATAAAGGCAGATCTGGAGAGATGGAAGACCATTGGTTGTTGAGAGTGTGGTTGCGCAACAGCTCCCCCAGCACCTGGATGAAACGACGTATCTGGATCCGTTCCAGTCAGGCTTCAGGCCCGGGTACAGCACGGAAACGGCATTGGTCGCGTTGGTTGATGATCTCTGGAGGGCTCGGGACAGGGGATGCTCCTCTGTCCTGGTCCTGTTAGATCTCTCAGTGGCTTTTGATACCATCGACCATGGTATCATGCTGCACCGGTTGGAAGAGTTAGGGGTGGGAGGCACTGTGTTGCGGTGGTTCTCCTCCTTTCTCTCTGACCAGTCGCAGTCTGTGTTGACAGGGGGATAGAGGTCGACCCCGAGGCCCCTCATATGTGGGGTGCCGCAAGGGTCGGTCCTCTCGCCTCTCCTGTTCAACATTTATGTGAAGCCGCTGGGCGAGATCATCCGTGGTTTCGGGGTGGAGTACCATCAGTACGCTGACGACACCCAGCTGTACATCTCCACCCCGGATCACCCCAACGATGCCCTTGAAGTGATGTCCCGGTGCCTGGAGGCCGTATGGATCTGAATGGGGAGGAACAGGCTCAGGCTCAACCCAACCAAGACCGAGTGGCTGTGGTTTCCGACGTCCCGATATAGTCAGTTGACGCCATCACTGACTATTGGGGGCGAATCATTGGCCCCCACGGAGAGGGCTTGCAACTTGGGCGTCCTCCTGGACTCACGGCTGTCTTTAGAAGAGCACTTGACGGCCGTGACCGGGAGGATTTTTCATCAGGTTCGCCTGATTCGCCAGTTGCGTCCCTTTCTGGATCAGGACTCGTTACGCACAGTCACTCATGCCCTCGTCACCTCCCGCCTGGACTATTGTAATGCTCTCTACATGAGGCTCCCCTTGAGGAGCACCCGGAGGCTCCAACTGGCGCAGAGTGCGGCCGCCGGGTGGTAATGGGAGCAACATGGCGCTCCCATGTAACACCTCTCCTGCGCGAGCTGCACTGGCTCCCGGTGGTCTTCCGGGTGCGCTTCAAGGTTTTGGTTACCACCTTTAAAGCGCTCCATGGCTTAGGACCTGGTTACTTACGGGACCGCCTGCTGCCACCAGTAGCCTCCCACCGGCCAGTACGCTCTCATAGAGAGGGACTCCTCCGGGTGCCGTCAGCCAAACAGTGTCGACTGGCGGCCCCTAGGGGGAGAGCCTTCTCTGTGGGGGCACCTACCATCTGGAATGAGCTCCCCCCGGAGATACGGAGGATCCCGGATCTGCGCTCCTTCCGCCGTGCTGTGAAGACCTTTTTATTCCATCAGGCGGGCTTGGCCTAATTTCTTCCCTTTTTAAATATGTAAATTTTAATCTGTTTTTAAATTATTGGGGTGTTTTAATCTGTCTGGGCCAAAATGATTTAATTTGATTTTATCTGGTTTTTAAATTTTTTATATTTATGTATTTTATTGTTGGCTGTTCACCGCCCTGAGTCCTTCGGGAGTAGGGCGGTATACAAATCAAATAAACCAAACCAACCAAACCATTCAATTCTCCCTTATGGGCAGAATACCAGCAATAAAAATGAATGTTCTGCCCAAACTACTCTTCCTATTTCAAAACATACTAATAAAATTAGAGAGAAAATATTTTGATAATTTGAATAAAATAGTGTCAAAATTTATATGGCAAGGGAAGAAGTCAAGAATTAAATTGAAATTACTCCAAGAGTCCAAAGAAAGAGGAGGGTTTGTTTTGCCTGACTGGGAATTATATTATCAAGCGGCAATGATCACCTGGGTGAAAGAATGGATAACTTTAAGGAACAAGAGATTATTAATACTAGAAGGTCATGATATTCAAACAGGGTGGCACGCATTCCAGAGGAATGCGTGCCACCCTGGAAGATAAGTGGCCTTGTCTTCCACCTCTGGAAGACAAGTGGCACACCAATACTTCCAAAGACACTATATACGACAGCCCCTATTGGGAGTATGGAATAAAATAAAATTACAGTACTATATGAAAATACCAATTGGCTCTCCACTCTAGAAGCGATGGTTCATCTGAATCTTACCAACTGGGGGGAAATTGTTACATACGACGATATTCTAGATGAAAAAGGGTGACTAAAAATGAGACTACAATTAAAAGAACAAGAGATAGAATTGGAATGGTGAGCATATTTACAAATTCAATCATGCTATATGAAAGATTTGAAAGTGTTAGGTATTAATAGAGATTTAAAGATATTAGATAAACTTCTACTGGGGACAGATGAAAAAATGATTAAAACAATGTATAAATACTTATTAGACTATAAAATGGAGGAAGAGCAAGTTTAAGAAACAATGGTGATATGGGCAAAAATTGTTGGGGATATTATTGAACTGGAAAAGTGGGAAAAATTGTTGGAAAGGAATAGGAAATTAACCGTGGCCACATCATATAAGGAAAACTTACATAAAATGTTCCATAGCTGGTATTTACCACCAGCAAGATTGGCCAAAATGTATAGAAATCCATCACCGAAATGCTGGAAATGTGACCAATTACCAGGCACCTACTACCATATGTGGTGGACATGTAGAAAAGCAAAAGAGTATTGGCAAAAGATTCAGATGTGGCTGGGAAAAATGATTGGACAAAGATTGGAATTTAAACCAGAAATATTTTTATTAGGAATCATAACAGAAGATTACAGTAAAGGGTTAACTTATTTAATATTGCATATCATAACAGCAGTGAGAATGATATATACCCAACAATGGAAGAATGAGAATATCCCACTAGAAAGGGAGATATTAAAGAAAATATTAGGCGTGCAGAATGTGATAAATTGACGCTAGAAGTAAAAAACAAAGAGACGGAATACTATGAGATTTGGAATAGATTTTACCAATGGTTGGATTTGAGAAATGGAAGTCAGAACAGGAAATAACTAAGATGTGTAGACCAAAAGATGATGTAATATATGTAAATATAAGGGTATATAGGAGGTCAACTATATGTATATAATTAGCAAGGTATGTTGAGTATATAAGATACTTGTGTTATACTTTAGTGTGTATGGCGGAGATGATGCCAGGATGGTCGCACCATGTCCAATTTCTTTTTTAATATGATATATATAAAAAAATAAAAAAAGTCACAAGAATTTCCATCAAGCAAAAACAGCTGCCCATATGCTCTTCACAATAAATTTAGCATAAGCAATTCACAAAATATGATTTGAGATCTAACACAGCTAGAAATAAATCAGATCTGCTGACAAACACAGAATATGGATGTCCAGAAATGCAAAAACCAAGAGGGGAGTATCTTCAATATTATTGTCCTTCTTGATGCAAATCATGGGGGCAGTGAAGAACAGCAAATTATTTTCTCCCAGTTACTTGGCAATCATTGGCATCACTGCTCATGATAAAGGAGCAATGCAAACAATAGAAGGAATTTTTTTAATCCCTGAACTACAGTTAGTCCTCGATTTATGACCACAACTGAGCTCAACATTTTTGTTGTTAAATGAGTTTTGCCCCATTTTACGACCTTTTTTGCTACATTTGTTAAGTGAATCAGTTGATAAGTTAGTAACCCAATTGTTAAGTGAATCTGGCTTCCCCATTCACTTTGCTTGTCAAAAGATTGCAAAAGGTGATCAGTTGATCTTGGGACACAGCAATGGTCATGAGTATGAACCCTTTGCCAAGCATCTGAATTTTGATCACATGATCATGGAGATGTTACAAAGGTTATAACTGAAAAATGGTCATGTCACTTTCTTCAGTACTGTTGTAACAGTGAACGGTCAGTAAATGAACTGCCATATATCAAAGACTCCTGGTATAATAAAATATTTATAAAATCCTATTTATTTATATTATTTGTTCCATTATGTATATTTATACACACATACATACTGAAATAATTTCAATTAAACTCCAACCTTTTAAGATCTTCTTTAAGCTCTGCAATTTCTTCATCTTTTTTTTGCTGGGTTGCTTTGTACTCAGTCACTTGATCCATGGAAAGGTTCAGTTTTGCATGCAGGTCTCTTTTCAGAGTCTAGAAAAATGATATTTTCAATTGCATAGAAATAGAGCAGTATTTAATCTCCTACTTAGAATAAAACAATAATAAAACAGACAATTTAGGGTTTCATTGTGATCATGGTGTTTAGGGACTATAGAAAATACTGTCCAAGTAGATGTTCAGAGAGGAAAAATTTGACGAAATATTAAATTGATAATCTATGGAACATTGTTTTCTAGGTTTTGTTTGGCATTGAAATAGCTATAAAAAAATAAGCAATCTCTGAGAGCATCAAGGACACCACAGCTCAACCCTGAGCTACAAATATTATCTTCAATACTATATCATATGTTTAATGTTGGTCTGAAGAGTTGGTTAATTGTTATTAATGCTGTATGCCACCAAGAGTCACATTGTTTATGTTGGGCATTTCAAATCATATACCAAACATTTGGAATGTATCATTCTAGGACTATAGATTTATCAGCCATGGGGTATAGCAAAAAGATTACTGTTACAATCCTCACTTATCTTTTATTATACCACAGCTGTCCTGGAAGGTACACAGCTCTTGTTGGAGAAGGAAAGCAAGCTATGCCAAATGATGATGGAGTTTGCTCTCCTTTCCTCGGCATCCATAGATCACATGGCTGCATCCAGGAAGTGACTGCCATTTTTCAAAGTGGCCACAATGAACTTAGCTGCGTTAAAATAGCACTTGCCAGTTGTGGAGGTAAATGTGTAGCTTGAGTGCGGTGAAGGAAGCATGCCTAGCTTCACCCAGCTGACTGTCTGGCTTGAAAGCAGGTGCTTCATGCAATCTTCTCCTTCCCCAATGCTTCTTGTTCACAAGCCATACAATCCGCTAAATAGCAGGATTGCAAATGTGCAGTATTGGGGAAGAAGAGCAACCCTAACCCTAGGCAACTCTAGGCTGCATTGCTAGAGAGCGTTGCTAGCCAGCATCCCTTGACCACTCCAAAAATGTCTACTGGGACTGGGTCACATGGCCTAAGGATAGAGCAGTAATCTCTTCTTTCTCAATGCAATCCACGGAGCTTCCAGAACAAGATCTACAATAAAAGAAAATGAGTGATTGGGGATGGGGAGGAGCATGTGAGAGAAAGGCTGAATGCCTGTGGGTCCCAGTGAGATAGGATGGAAGAAAGTAGGGGGAGGGGCATGCTGTAGTGCAGGGGTGTCAAAATCAATTTCATTGAGGGCTGCATCAGGGTTGTGTTTGACCTCGGAGGGCTGGAGGGGGGGCATGGCCATGATAGGCATGACACGGGACCATACTCCCCACACATTGTCATGTTCCCGTCAGAGTCTGAATCTGTGGGGGAAGATGGGCTGGAACAAGAACTGGCAGAGATGGAGAGGCCGGCTCCGTTGTCCTTGGAGGAAACTGGGGAAGGGCAGAGTCAGTCCAGGCAAGGCTTTTCTGAATTAGTAAGGCCTGCAGACAGGGAGAGATCAGGAGAAGAGCAAGGACTACCCCTCCTGATCTGAGAGCAAGGAGGGAAGAGAGATGGCAAGATCTACGCAGATTGAGGAGCATTTGTCAGGAACAAGCACTGAATCTGTGGAGTCTCGTGTGCATTTGCCAAAGCCTGGAGATTGCTATACAATTGTCTTGTGGGGCTTGCCAGTTTGCCTGCTTCGCTGAACTTCTTGCTCTGGTTACTGTTTAGCTAACCTGGCTTATTGGACTGCTGGCCCTGGTTAATGTTTGGGCTAACTTGTTTTATTGGACTGCTGGCCTTGGTTGCTGTTTGATTTACCTGTCTTATTGGACTGCTGGCCCTGGTTGCTGTTTGATTAACCTGTCTTACTGGACTACTTGCAGCCAGAAGCTTCTGAAGATGCATGTGAGAGTTTTGCTCCAGGACTTGTAGTGAATGTGAGAACTTTTGGGGGCACAGTTGGAGCAATAAAGGGGAGTTAGACCTGTTCTCTGGTTGTGTTGCTTTCGTGCCACGCTCCGGGTCATCACACACATGGTTTTATATACTTATAAAAATAGAGAGGAATAGATTTCTGTGATTTTGGTTTTTTAATACTTACTACTTGATCTACTTGATCTCCTTATGAGAGACCAGATCAAGAAACTGACTCCATAGGAAGACTAGAACTATAAATTATTGACAGAGGCTATAGTAGCAGACTCCTGAAAGCCTGAAAGGTAAAATATTTTATCTTTCCTCCCTTTTATTAAAAAGAAGAAAAGGGAACAAGGGAATCAGCCATATTGGACTTAATTCTCACTAATAGAGACAAAATGATAGAAGGTGTTGAAGCTACAGGAACCTTGGGGATCACGCAATATTGGAATTCAACATTATGCAAACTCAAGTACTAGACCAAAGTCAAACTAGAGTCTTGGACTTTAAGAGAGCTAATTTCAATAAACTTAGAGAGAGCTTGAGAAGGATTCCATGGATGAGAATCCTCAAGGGGAAAACAACTCAAGAAGCTTGGGAAACTTTGAAAAGTGAGATTATAAAAGTCCAGTCTAGCACAATACCAATGAAGATGAAAAATAATAGATCTCAAAAGAAACCAGCATGGCTGCATAAAGAACTCTCTAACAAATTGAAAGACAAAAAGGACAAGTATAAAAAGAGGGAAAGAGGGACAAATAACTAAGGCAGAGTATCAGCAAATAGCCCGAGTCTGTAAAGATGAAGTGAGGAAAGCTAAGGCTCACAATTAACAAAGGCTTGCGACTAAAGTAAAAAATAACAAAAAAAGCTTCTTCCAACATTAAAAACAAGAAAAAAGTCAACGAAATAATTGGCCCATTGCTGGGAGAAAGTGGCAAGAAGGTGACAAGCAACAAGGAGAAAGCAGAACTACTTAACTCATTTTTGGCATCTGTCTTTACACAAAAGGAAAAACAGTCCAACCTATCAAAAACAGCACCACAAAAAACAGATTAGGAACACAAGTTAAAATAGGGAAGAAAATGATAAGTGAACACCTGTCTAACCTAAATGAGTTCAAATCACCAGGACCAGATGGATTACACCCCAAGGTTCTGAAGGAACTGGCAGACGAGATCTCAGAACCACTGAACTATATCTTTCAAAGATCCTGGATCACAGGGGAACTGTAAGAGGATTGGAAAAGAGCTGATGTAGTTCCCATCTTCAAAAAAGAAAAAAATAATAATTCCAGGAAACTACAGACCTATTAGCCTGACCTCAATACCAGGGAAGATTCTGGAAAAGATCAAACAACGAATCACCAAACACCTAGAAGCAAACCAAGTAATAACCAAAAGCCAACATGGGTTTGTCAAAAACCCATCATGCCAGACTAATCTTATTGCATTCTTTGACAAAGTGACAAAATTAGTGGACCACAGGAATGCTGTCGATATAATTTACTTGGACTTCAGTAAAGCATTTGATAAAGTAGATCATAACCTACTACTAGATAAAGTAGAAAAATGTAGGTTAGACAGAATCACCACCAGATGGATTTGTAACTGGCTGACCAACTGCACTCAATGTGTAGTTCTCAATGGAACTGCATCTACATGGAGGGAAGTATGCGGTGGAGTACCCCAGGGCTCTGATTTTAGGCCCAGTGCTCTTCAACATCTTCATCAATGACTTGAATGAGGGGATAGATGGGGAACTCATCAAATTTGCAGATGGCCAAGCTGGCAGGAATAGCCAACACTCCAGAAGATAGGCTCAAGATACAGAAGGATCTTGACAGACTTGAACATTGGGCGCTATCTAACAAAATGAAATTCAACAGAGAAAAAAGCAAGGTTCTACATTTAGGGAAGAAAAACAAAATGCAAGGTACCGTATATGTGGTACCTTGCTCAGTCGGGCTTCAGGTCACGATACAGCACGGAAACGGCATTGGTCGTGTTGGTGGATGATCTCTGGAGGGCTCGGGACAGAGGTTGCTCCTCTATCCTGGTCCTATTAGATCTCTCAGCGGCTTTTGATACCATCGACCATGGTATCTTACTGCACCGGCTGGAGGGGTTAGGAATAGGGGGCACCGTGCTTTGGTGGTTCTCCTCCTTCCTCTCTGACCGTTCGCAGTTTGTGTTGGCAGGGGGGCAGAGATCGACCTCGAGGCACCTTATTTGTGGAGTGCCGCAAGGGTCAGTCCTCTCACCCCTTCTGTTCAACATTTATGTAAAACCGCTAGGCGAGATCATCCGTGGTTTCGGGGTGAGTGTTCATCAGTATGCTGATGACACACAGCTATACATCTCCACCCCAGACCACCCCAATGATGCCCTTGCTGTGATGTCCCGTTGCCTGGAGGCCGTGCGGATCTTGATGGGGAGAAACAAACTCAGACTTAACCCCTCAAGACCGAGTGGCTGTGGCTTCCAGCGTCCCGGTATAGTCAGCTGGTACCATCACTGACAATAGGGGATGAGATCTTGCTCCCCACAGAGAGGGCCCGCAACTTGGGTGTCCTCCTGGATTCACGGCTATCTTTAGAAGATCATTTGACGGCCGTGGCCAGGGGTGCCTTTTATCAGGTTCGCCTAATCCGCCAGTTGCGTCCCTTTCTGGATCGGGACGCCTTGAGCACAGTCACTCATGCCCTAGTTACCTCCCGTATGGACTACTGTAATGCTCTCTACATGGGGCTCCCCTTGAAAAGCACCCGGAGGCTCCAACTGGTCCAGAATGTAGTCGCACGGGTGATTATGGGCGCAGCTCGTTACGCCCATGTAACACCTCTCCTACGCGAGTGCACTGGCTCCTGGTGGTCTTCTGGGTGTGATTCAAGGTGTTATTTATCACCTTTAAAGCGCTCCATGGCTTAGGACCTGGGTACCTACAAGACCGTCTTTTGCCACCAATAGCCTCCCACCGACCAGTTTGTTCTCACAGGGAGGGACTACTCAGGGTACCGTCAGTCAAATTATGTCGACTGGCGACTCCCAGGGGGAGGGCCTTCTCTGTGAGGGCTCCAACCCTTTGGAATGAACTGCCCCCGGAGATACGGAATATCCCTGATCTCCGTACTTTCCGCCGTGCCCTCAA